AGGTTTCCAAAACGGCTGGGGGAACACATGGTTCGGTAGCTTGGTAGAGCTCCTGTCACAACGCTCGGCCAAAAGGCATGGGGCGGCGGTGATTCGCCGTAGGCGTCTTCGATAACGCCAACGTCTCAATATGCGCTGATGATTCCTATCCGCTATCGCATGTTATTCCCAGATGCGCCAAGGCAGCGCCGAGACGCACCGCCGCGACTCTGATATATGCCATTATGATAACTAGAGAGGGGGCCGGCGGCACGGGGTGAAGCCCTTACGGATACGACCCCAAGAGGATCCCAAAACGTCCCCCCAGACGCCCTCAAAGGCTTCCAAACGGCCCGAAAGAGCACCAAAGCAGCCCGACTCCCAAAACGACCTCCTCAGGCCTTCGACGGCCCGATACCAGCACCCCAAGACAGCCCCACAAGTCACAGGACGGCCCCAAGACGTCTCCATATACGACCCCAAGAGGGTCCCAAGACGTCCCCCGGGCGCCCTCACAGGCCCCCGAGGCCTCCAAAAGAAGCGAAAGAGCCCCAATGCGGCCCGAGAGGGCCCGCCCCAAGGGACTCCCAAAACGGCCTCGTCAGCCCTTCGACGGCCCGATAGCACCCCAAGACGGCTCAAGATGGCCCGCAGTGACTATCCAACAGGGCGCCAAGGCAGCCCCAAGATGCCCCCAACAAGGTACAAGAAATGCCCCAACGAGCCTCCGTGCAGGTGCCCTACAATGAGATATCGTAAATCAAATTGAAGATGTGTTGGGTCCATCTTGGAATCGATACTGGAACCCTGTGTTCTCCCGGTCCCGACAACACTTTTGGGAGCCAGGACTCACCTACACCCTGCGAAATGCTTAAGAAATCATGGGTTAAGAAATTCATAGTCTCAGAAATTGACTAAAAACCCAGAATGTCTATTCAAATCTTAGGATTCACATTGAAACATTAAGAATAATCGAGACTCTGGCCGAAAACTTGGGTTTTCTTAAGCATCGTGTAGAGTGTACAACCGAGCTGTTCTTGCATGCATAATCGGCAACAACAGCGGTACGGAGAGGCCGTGGTTCAACAGAGGCCGCACAATTGATAACGAGATGCCGTCCAAGTATCGGCCGATCCTTCAAGTTTCCGCTCCCGCTGAACAGGGAGCGTGTCTGGCCTTTCCGAAGGCGAATGAAGAAATTAGTTGAAGACCTGCTGGCACGCTTCTCTGAAACGTGAGATCGCACAATGTTCACAAACTTGCTTTGCACTGTGTGGTGTCGCCCATCGTCGTTACACTATTGTGAAGACCTCAGTCCTATCGCCCGCAGGTTGCCTTCTGCCCAGAGCCCAAAACGTGGACAGCAATCCAAATCGAACGCCTTTGTTTCAAGACGCCTTCAAGCATATTCCGTCTCAGGCTAAATGTGTGGCAGTCATGCGGGTGGAAATTCAACGCTTTAGAAGTTTAAAGGCATGCGAGGGGGGAACCTCGCGGTTGTAAAACCACGTGCGTACGTGAATCAATGCGTGTACATATTCACACAAAAACACGTTACGAACGCATATGTATACATATGCGCGTGCGTGTGTTTGTGTGTGCGTGTGTATACACACGTTGCATGTGAGTACACGCGAGTGTTTGCGGATGACGGCGCGAGTACAAAATTATACATTGTGGTTCCCGTATGTGCACGCATATGTGTGTTCGCTAAAGCGAGCCACTCCAGGGGGTCTTGGCAAGATGGGCCCCGAGCAGATCTGTCGAAGAGGGGGGACACTGGCAAATCCGCAAAAGTTGCCCCTCCCCGAGTCCCTCCACCCCTGATCCGTTTTCGACGGTCCCACAGCCCGAAAGCGGCCCCCTGAGACCAACAACGAAACAAACGGCGACCTTCCGGCGCACAGCGCCTCGAACCCAACGCTCCCCCATTCTCGCTGGCCGGCACCAGCGCTGGGCCGCCTCGGCTCTCCAGCCGCCCCTAAACATGAGGAACCGCGGGGGCCCCGCCCGCGTCCGGAGCGTCGCCGCCCGCGGCCGGGGCGACGGAGAGGCCGTGGCCATGGGCGACCTGCGCTGCCGCCATGGCGCCGCCCCGCCGCCGCAGGCCCCGCGGCAGCGCCCCGCGAGCCCGGGGCCCCGCGCGCCGCGCCCGCCGGGGGCCCGCTCTCGGCACCACAGGCGCCGGCGCTGGGCGCGCGCGGCGAGGCGAGGCTTCGCGGCGCGTATAGCCCGACCAGACACATGGCGTCTCGACACAAGTCAAGGCAGAGGTGCTTCGTCGTTTTCGGCCCCTCGGGGCCCCTCGTTGGGCCTCGGGGCCCTCCAGAAGCGGTTCGGGATGAGAGGCAGGTCTCGTGGAAGGGGTCGAAGGGTCGGGGGCTCGCGTTTCGACCAAATCGGGGTACCAGATGTCAGGGGGCGCGCAAACGAAGGAGAACCAACCTCGCAATGAACAACCCGACAAACGAAGCCCTCTTTGGCGAACGCAGTGGGAATGGAATCGAACAGGGAAGCAATGTGTCCTCTTTGCGGTGATAGACGCCTCCTGATTCGGGTCCGGGTAGATGGGGTCGGAGGATCGCGCCGCATCGCCAACGCATCGCCGACGCATCGGCGATGTATCGGCGACGTCGGCGCTGCATCGGCGCCGTCGGCGATGCAGTAGCGGTGCGGCGCGATCCTCCGACCCCATCTGCTCTGGACTCCACCTGGGAAGCCCAGATGAAGGGGCCCCAGGACACACAAATAAATACACACAAATAAAAAGATTCCCCATATTTTCCCATATGTTCTGGGTTTTTGTCTTCCCCCCCACGTCCCATATTTTCCCATATTTTCCTGGGAGTCGACGATGAATTGTGTCTGTGTGTTTTTTCCCCTCCTGCTCTGGACTCCACCTGGGAAGCCCAGAGCGCGTCCTCCTCCCATCCGGGAAAGGGCCCAAATGGGGGCCCGCGCGCTCTGGACTCCGACCCCTTCTGCTCGGACTCTGCCCGGGAGGCCCAGGGTGCCTCCTCCGCCCTGGCAGGGAAAGTAAAGGGGCCCCAGGACACACAAATAAATACACACAAATAAAAAGATTCCCCATATGTTCCCATATTTTCGGGGTTTTTGTCTTCCCCCCCACTTCCCATATTTTCGCATATTTTCTGGGGAATCGACGATTCATTGTGTCTGTGTGTTTTTTCCCTTCCTGAGAAAGGCCCGACTGGGGGCCCGCGCGCCCCGAAGGCAACACCTCGAACGGGGCAGCCGAGCCGCAGGGCCTCGCGCGATGCCCGCGCGCTCCGACTGCAAGGCCTCGCGCGGGGCCCGCGCGCCCAGAATGGAAGGCCCCGCGGCCCATGGCGCCGCGCCAGCGCGCGGGGGGCACGTGGGCGGCGGGGGAGGATGTTGGCACGCGGGGGTCTGGCGGACAATCGCCAAGCTCCGCGCTAGCAGCTTTTCACGATCAATCAAGAAGGCTTTAGCCAAGTCGGCCACATTTTTAGAAATACACATGCGTGAATGTGGAAAGCAAGGGTGCAAGTATTCACAGCACAGACAGACAGAGAGAGGTTGCAGGAACGCGTGCCAACAACTCCCCTGAATTACTGTCGATCTGGCTGTCTGACAGACTGCAACCGGATGTCCCTGGCCGCCAGGTAGCGTCGACTGTCAACCTTGCTCCGGTGCTGCTTGGCACCAGCGGAAGCCAAGGCAGTTCCTCCTTGGCGTCGCTCAAGGCCAAAATCATCCCCGTCCTGAGCAGGTGCGAAAGGGCCTCTGAACCCTTGGCCACATCAGCCTTGGTCATCACATCCGTGGGATCCAAAAAAGATGGGGGCAACCATCTGGCACGCAAGCTGCGAGCAGAAAAGGAATCCCTGAGATCTTCCTCACGGCCTGCGCAGTTTTTGGAACGCGCGTCGAACATCGATTTTGCGCCCAAAGCGTGGACACCTGGAACAAGGGCCCTGAAGCTCACGAGAGCTCCTCAACACAGAAACGAGAAGACGAAGGGGCCCCAGGACACACAAATAAATACACACAAATAAAAATAATCCCCATATTTTCCCATATTTCCTGGGTTTCTGTCTTCCCCCCCACTTCCCCTCTTTTCCCATGTTTTCTGAGGAATCGAGGAGTAATTGTGTCTGTGTTTTTTCCTCTCCTGAGAAGACCCGCGCCCCATGGGCCACTCTGAGGAGGGTCCCTCGCCAGAGCGGGCACTGCGAAGCAATGCGACTGCATCCGCTCCGCCTCTGCGACGGCATGCCACAGGAGTGGGGCTTCGCCTGCGAGAGAGGCATTGGCGGCGCGTTTCGTCATGGCAAGAGAGCATTGATACACGAGCTGGCTGGCCAGCGGCATGCTTAAAACCTACAATCCCAGCAAACTGAACTGAAGGGGCCCCAGGACACACAAATGAATACACACAAATAAAAATAGTCCCCATCTGTTCCCATATTTTCTGGGTTTCTGTCTTCCCCCCCCCACTTCCCATATTTTCCCATATTTTCTGGGAAATCGCAAATTAATTGTGTCTGTGTGTTTCTTCCCCTCCTGAAGAGCATCGATACACGAGTTGGCTGGCCAGCGGCATGCTTAAAACCTACAATCCCCGCAAACTGAGCATTCTACACCGGGCCCTCGGTGCCAATGCCAACAGCGTCACTGGCCGTCATTGCCGCCACCAAACTCAGGTCACACTTCCAGATCATGAAGCATTGCGCTGCCGTGTCTCGCGCGAGCTGCAACACCTCCTTGCGTAGAAGAACGTCCTGGGTCGTAGCATGGTTCAGACTGCTCGCGAACATAATGGCAGCGCCCAGAATCTCCCGCCGAGACTCCAGGGCAATCCAGCTCACACCAGAAAGCGAATTAGCGAGAACTCGGCCGGTGACAATGGATTTGTCTCTGGGTTCTGCGGCCGCGATCAAGCGGCGCTGTCTTGAGCTCCTCGAAGTACTTCTCCTGATAGATACGGATGCGGTGCGGGGTCGCTCCTCGCGCGCTCGCCTGCATGCAAACGCGACCTCGTTCCCGCCCCATTTGCCGAAGGCGAAGCGCCCCTGGAGACTCCCATGCAACCACTTCTCGTGACTGCCGAGGGAGTCGAGCAACAGGTCGTCGACCTCGATCAGCACCTGAGCCACCAACTGCCCTTCCTCGCGCTTCGACCAGTAGCAAGGCTCGAGCAGCAGATCGCGGAAGCCCAGGTCGAGAAGAAAGGCGCGGGAGTGACGCGCCACCCCCAGGGCGCGTCGCCCAGCCCGCGCGCCGCCACCTTGAGCTCGATTGCGCGGCCTTCAGGGACATGGGCCCCTGCAAGACCGTCACGACGGGCCGCGTAGATCGGGTCGCCCGAGCGCTTCAGTGGGCGAGACTGGCTGGGCGCTCTCTTGCAGTCCACGGCGGCCTGCTCCACGTCGCAATGCAGTGTAAGGCCGCGGCAAAAATCGGCGCGGATTCCGGCTGCGGAGACGGCGGGTAGGCGATCAGCTTCTCGGTGTCTGGGTCATGGAGGCCGCGCGCGCGCCAGCGGCTCCTGGCTCTCTCGGCGCTAAAGGCGCCCCCCTGGCCCTTCCAGCGGCGCGCCATCCTCGACGACGGGGCCCTGTCGGGCTTGGTCTTGGCCGCGTGCTGGGGCTCGGCCAGCGACAGCACGCGCAGTGCTCCAGGTCGATTCAGCACTGCCCACTCGGCCTCGTCAAAAGCCTTGAACTGCTCGCGCTCCTCGGGCTTCGCGCGGCTCAGCTTGACCTCGCCAACGTTGGAAGACAGGAGGCTCCAGCGGCCGACGCTATCTCCCGAGCTGACATGCACGAGATCACCCGCGCCATTGGCGCACCCCCCGGCGGCGCCACTCCAGCCATGCTCCTGGGATCAGGTCTCGAACGACTCGCCGTGGGCACTTACCAGCTACTCGTCAGAGACCGCCTGAGAAACAACTGCCATCTCGTCGGAGCCTCTGGGTTGCGGCCAGCGGCCCCGCTCCTCGACGCGTTGTCCAGCTCAGTCGGAAACGCGGGGCAGGAGTTCAACTGGAGTAGGAAGAGCAGCGCTGCGGAACGGCGCCGGCGTTGGAGCCCCCCTCGCGCTAGATCTGAGGTCCTCGGGTCGGATGACCGTCTCGGGCGGGGCAGACTCGATCCTGGGCTGACTCGCTGGCGCCCG